TCTTCATTACCACAAGTCCCATAACCCATTATTGTTTTTCGGAGTACCACATGTACTGTATCCATGTTTGTTTGGTGGGTGGGTAACAAAATAACATGACACAGTCCATCCTTCTTCAGGTATTTGTGAAAAACCTTTACTTTGGGAAGAAAAATTAGATTTTATGAAATTAAAATGTGTCATAGATTTAAAAAAAAAAAAAAAAAAGTCATGATGAGTGAAACCTACTTGAAATGTCACCTTATAAGCAACAACCAAATTACAATCACAAACGATTTTTAGACCTGGTGCTTTATTTTGAATGTCTTTTCACTACATATTTAAGTAAATTCATTTACCAAAATTTTTTTTTCTTAAATTTATTTCTAAGTTAAGATTTCCTGTTTTCCAATTCACTGTACACATACATCTGTTTATATGATCTTTGGATGCAATTTTCTGCCAATTTTTCACAGTGTGTACTTTTTTTTATACAAAGTTATTGTTACGCCTCAACCACCCACTTGACAAAGGGAAATACTCGTACCTACCACTTTAGCCATTGTCATGTAGGTACATCCTAGTTGACTGCTACCTATAATTATGTTAATTACCCCCTTTCTAGAGGACTTGCATAATGCAAATCTTCTTTTGTTTGATTCCTGAGGGTGTTGTGTTGGTGAGTGCACACCATTCATCTGGAATTTTCATTGGCTCTTTATGTGGCTGCCTTCTGTCATGTTTGGTTTGAAATAAAATCTACCGACTTAGTAAGCATGTCCTTATGAGAGAGGAAATCAAATCTTTGCTGCTGATGATGTAAAGCAATTCTGAAGAGTGTGTGCCGTACTTTCAGCTTTCATTCAGGTATGGCAAGTAACCTGTCTTTGTTGAAATATTTTCTGATTTTTGCATGATTTTATATATATATATATATATATATATATGGATTTAATTTTTAATCCAACATATTTCTTATTACTCTAAACATTACTTTAGATGATACACGTTTGAGTAAACACCTTGCTTCTTTTCTTTTTTTTTTTTTCTTTAAAAACAATGTGAATTACATCTACTGGCCTGTGCATTCAAGAGACAATAAAGAAAACATGCTATCCAGCAGAGTTCAAACATGCAGCCACCTTTTGTAAGTAAATTAACCTACTTGATCCAACATGCTTAGGAAGATCTGAACAAGAGGATGTGCATTCTTTGAATTTGAAAAGGTTAATTGAACCTTGCAGGTCTGTGAAACTCTCTGTGGCTGAGTGGCCTAAAGCATGCTGGATCAGACAGTGGTTGGTTTCCCCTACAAAAGACAAGCAGACAGCATAAACCCTGCCAGACAGCACATTTTCCTTATTAAGTCAATGAAATACACAGGCCAGTAGATGTAATGCACACTGTTTAAAAACCAAGTAGTCTACTCAAACATATTTATCCACTATAAATAAATAAGGCTTAGACAAATTATTTATGGGTCTTTTATCTCCACTGAACTAATGCCTTCAGGTGACCTTCTCAGAAAAATCTGGGAAAATTCACAGATATTCCTTAATCAAATTTAGTGATATTCTATAAGGTAAAAATCACATTAACAATATTTTCCAAGGAAATAAACATAAATATTTAGGTTTTTAGAAAATTTCATGTATTAATTTCATTTAATATATAAGTTTTTGCAAAACTCATTTGAAAAGCATTTAAAGCTTTTCTCCTGCTAAAAACATAACACTATACTTATACAGAAAAACAAAGTTTTACATGCTCTGAAAGCATAATACCACTAAGGTTAAAAAGTGAAAAAAAAATATTTCAAGTAGTCCAATTTAATGACATTAAAATACTGGCAACATTTTTTAAAGAACTTTTCTTCTCTGCTAATAAATCTTATTAATCCCTATAAAAAAAAATTCACATCACCATGTTTTCTCTAAAATTTCTATTGATATTAATCTTTGAAATATTCACACCTCTATGTCAGTGGTTCTTCTGTCTAATTGGTGCACTCCCCAGTTAAGTCTTGTTAAGAATTCAATGTTCAAAGAGCTAAGTATATGGACCTTTTTTTTCATTTCAAAGTTTAATTCCATATGAGTTGATTCAGCAGAATTAAATAAATCTAGATCTATAACTGTTAACTTTATATTTCAAATCCTCAGTTCCTGGCAGGTTACCAAAAATGGAAAGTCATGCTTTATTACTCTGTACTCTTGGAAATAGTTTTGAAGGTAAATGCCATAAGATTTCTTATTCAAAAATACATTAAAAAAATTCACCTCATTCTCAAAAATGAAGATGTTAATTCACAGGAGATCTGGAGTTTCCCTTGATAAGGATGAAACAGTGTGTTTGCATCATGAAAAAATATTTTTATGTTGTAAAAGCCTTCAACGCTGTTGTGGATCCAAATAAAATTCATTAGAAAATCTTTCATAAGTTGCATTTTATAATCTTATTGTCTAATTTCATATAGATTTTTTTAGTTGATGCATTTTTGTGTAACAAGCGTTTGTTTATTTGATAAGATCATAAGAATTTTTGTGTTAAATACAAAATGAAATAGTATGTGATGGCTATGAATTTTTCAGCTTAGCTTTATTTTTTTGCAGGTTCTCTCTGTTTTGTAAGGTTAGAATCTGCTGAAATACTTGGCATAATACATGGGTAGAAGCATTTGTCCACCTTGTTGGATATCTTGCGAGATAAGTTGTGTTTTTCTAATGCATATAATGATTCACTCTTTAATTAATTCTTTAATGATTGTTATTCTCGTGCATTGAAATTATTGTGAGGTAAAATACTGATTTAACGCTGAAGGTATTTACTATTTTCTAAAAATCTAAATATTTCCTCTAAAAATACCCTTAATGTGATTTTTACTTTACTGATTTGTGCTTATTTTTGAGTGTTGATAAAATTTCTTAACATGAACAAATTATGATTAACTATTTTGACTTGAAGTATTTAAAAACAAAATAATCTAATGGAATTTTTATTTTATTGCTCTTGATTTGATTTCTTTGTTCAGTTAAAAATGTAGACCATCTGAAAAATCATTTTTAAGGACCCATAGCATCTAAAATATTTAGAACAAAGTTAAAATAAAACTCAAAATAGTCCATTTGCATAGAAAATTTTAGGGTGCCAACTTTAAGCTTCATATTTTCTTAAGCATCAATTTTATAATGTATCAGAATTACCAAAACTGTATTTTGGCATGACAAATTATTCTAGAAAAATGTTTTAACGCTAGACAGAAGTTTGTCCATAAATTGAAAACTTCTGTCACATGATCTTCTGACATGTAAGAATCTGTGGTAAGAATATAAAAGTTTTCTTAAACTGACTAATTGGTCTGTTGATGCCATGAAAATTAAGCAATTTTAAAGATGTTAAAAAATGAACAATATTCAAATAGTAATACTGACATTCCTATAATGGGAATGACTCTGCTTACTGCATACAATTAGTCTATTATGTTATAAATGACAGGAAAACTAATTTGGATGTTCTATCTGACATACATTGTAAATGAAGCTCTGAAAGTGGGCAGTGTCTTTTTGCATTTTGGCAAGGTTCAGGTTCTTATAAAAGCAAAAGTTCATAAGATATATCTAAGCTGTTTGTTTTTGTAATCTGCAGTAATTATTGACTATTGTCACCAAGTTTCAAATCTTGAATGTCAGAATTTCATTGAAAGCTTTATTTAGCAAAATGCTGTGAAATTTCAAGGTTTTTGCAGTAAGGTTCACCTTTTACAAGGCCCAGGTGCCACTTGAGGTACAGAGTTACATTAGGAGGCCATTTGTTTGTGTATAGGGGTAGGAGTTAATGATTAACCAAAGCCTTAAACAGGTTAAAATTGTAGTGATTGGGCAAACATCTTGTTGGGAGTCAGTTCTACAGGGCAGCAGTTTGTGGAAAGAAGCTTTTCGAGTGGAACTTACTTCTCACTGATGGAATACGGAGGCAATGTGGGTGGTTTGCTACTATGTAAGTGGCATGCAAGTTTGATTTAGCAAGACCAGGAACTGTAGTTTGTTCAAGCACTTTCCATTAAAGTAGCGGAAAAGCAGTATAAGAGGCTTGCCACATCCTACCTTTGGAAAAGATGTGGAGAATAATTTGTCACTCACAAGGGCTTGACGATGCTTTTGGACTCTATCAATGCTGGAGAGTGAAGTCTGGGAAGCTCCTGCCCAAATATGACAACAGTACTCCATTTTGGCCTGATTTGGCTCTTGTAAAGATGCTCTGATTTTTACAGATCTAATATTTGGGAACTATCAATAAACTTGATCAAGAAACACCTGTGAATTTTAAGAGAAGGTCACTTGTAGTTGGTTGATTTGAGATGGAATGACCCATATATGATAATTCTATAGCTGAAAACTATTACACTGACAAAAAATTGAGGCAGAAGTTTCCTCAATCGTCAGATAACATCTTTTGTTTACTTTATTTAAAGCTAAATAAAACTCAGAATTTTTTTTATATTCAATATCCCCAGCCTCCATCATTTCAACATGTTTTTTTCTTTTTTTTTTTTCCTTCCTGATCTTGTATATTTATTTTACTCAGTGATGCTTGAAAAAATGTCATTTTAATTCTCTGTATATTCTTATATGGATTTTTTTTTTTTTTTTAAAGTTTTTAAATCTATGTAAAAATTCTTTGTATGAAAGAGGATCATTTTTAACATGACTTAACTTTTCAAGTGGGTTGAGATATTATTTTATCTCCTTTCCTGGACTCTTCTTATCTGACTTAAGTCCCTTACATTTTTCTATCAAAATAATTGTTAATTTCTGTTTCTTTTTTAGGATTTTTTGATTGCATTGCCATGATTTCTAGGTTATAATTTGTCTATAAAATTTACTGTCCAAAATTTGTCATTTGTCCAGATATTAATTTTTTTTTAATACATTGTTTAATAGTAAATATAAATGATGATTGATGTTTTTAATTTTAATTAAAAATTAGGAAGGTTTTTTTATATAACTTTTTGTCTCCTGTAGGTGGTTAGTCCACAGTGTTGCTCCAAACAGTGAAAGCCATATTCCTTGTGGGAGCGGCAGTGAGCACAAGTAAGTATTGAAAAAAAAAAAAATCAAAAAGAAAAAATATGTAATCATTAAGTCATGTGGTTGTCTTTTTCTTTCCCTTGCCTCTTGAATAAATGGTTTGGAGGAGTGGATATCAAATAAGGGTGGTCTTCCAATTTTCCAAAATTTAATAAACAGGTTTGGTTTTGAATAAAATTGTACATTTTTGTGTAAAGACTATTAGCTGGCCACTAAGAAGTTATAATAAATGTATTTCTAAATGGGTATATTGTGATGTAATGGATATGGACTCAGAATAAGAAATCAGAGGGTCGATTTCAAATTCTAATTGAGTTTGTTACATTTATTTACATGCAAATCCACCTGGGAAATATACGAATCCATCTTCTCCCCCAGCAATGGGTAAATAGCAAGACTGACTGTGTCTTGGTTGCCAACCAGTCTACCACAGAAAGAAATAGCAACTTGTTACAGGAAAATCTTATGCCTAATCAGCCATCAAATTGAAATAGACATGATCACCCAAATGTCTTTAACATATGACACTTAACTGACTGATTTTTAAATACATTTAAGGCCAGATTGGTTGTAGTTTTGAGTTTTTACATTAGGCATTGTTTGTTTTTTTTAAAAAAACTAACAAAGTGGAGAGAGTGGATTTCTTAATTTTCAGCATTTTAATAAGCATACTCTCTCCCATTCATTCAAGAGGCAAGAGTATATGTTGTCATTAGAGTAAAGTTTGTATTTATTCATTTATTTTAACTTTAATAAACATGTTCATTTTTTTCTTTAAATGCTATGTCCTTTCAGGATGTAGATGATCAAAACTCTCCACAGCTTCCTCTTTTTTTTTTTTTCTTTTAATGTCTATAGACTGTGCATTGTCATGAGTGTTCTGGGTGGGAAAGGTAGTGGAGTGGTTTCCCCTTGGCATATCTATGATTTTGAATTCAGAATTGTCCTTTTCCTAGACTGGTTGCCAACCAATATTAGAGAGCCCAGCTTGCTCTGCATTATTGCTAGACCATTATTAGAGTAGGGAGATGGATTCTTCTTTCATATTAGCATTAATATAAAGTAAGCATTGTCTCATTTGGAATCTGGCTTACCAATTCCATTTTCTGCTGTTAACCATTAGTGTACTTATACCTCATACCATAGGATGAAGTTTGTTTCACTGGTAATCATAAAAAAATTAGAAAAAAAATAAAGGTATATAAATTTTTAAACAATTTAAAGAATAGATAGAAGAAACAAATTTAAATTAGACTTATTTGTTGTTCAAGGAAAAAATATTATGTATCTTACTTACAAACATGTTTTGAGTATTTAGTAAACTTAAATAAAAGCAAAATATGCCTTTAACTTAGAATTATTTGAATTTGTGAATTTAACAAAAGTTTTGTAATCCAATAGGGGTCATTAAGTCATCATATATACTGCAGCTGTTGGGGTATGTAGGGCACAATAGACAGACAGCTTATTCCTCTACAGGTAGTTAGATTCTATAGTGTTTAAAAAAAACTTTTGCTTACACTGAGAAAAAATATAAAGACTTATTGATTCCAGGAAACTATGTTCCATGTCCATCTTCAGGAAGAAGACAAAGATGATTTTTTTTTTTTAATATGCCTCTTTGAAAAGTGTTTCTTTTTCCTTTTGACATTACTTTTTTAGATGTAGCAAACATTCACTTGTGCTTAGACTTCAATTTTGCCAATATCTCTGGATTGTTTGCAGAATTATTTAATTGTACAAAACATGGTAATCATTTAATAAATTTGGATACAGTATATTTTTCATGTGCAATAAGAGACTAACATCAGTGATCTTGAATTGGTTGTTTTTATTTTGAGCACAATTTTGTAGTGGAATGAGCTCATAAAATTTACTTATTCTTTTTTTAATTTGTGTAAGATTGAAATACAAATTCACATGTCCCAAAAATGAAAATTGATCAACAGGTAATTTAATTTTGTAAGACAGATAATACTCCACTTTCGTTTCCCCCTACTCTCTTTGGGTGCTTAGCAATATTCAAACTTTTAAGATTCTTGTAGATGTTACCTTTGTAATCAGGCTTGAACTTTGAAAGTGTGTGCATAGATGTTGGGAGACTTGTAAAATTGTAAACAAAAAAAAAAAATTTTTTTTATTTCTCAAGATAATTTTTTTCTTTTTTTAAAATGAATACATTTTGTATAATTTTTAGTAGGGTTTGATTTGAGTTGGTAAAAATAATCTGGCATTACTCTCTTATCTCTACTCTCTGATTTTTGCTAAGTATTTTGTTAGTGTTAAAATCAGGGGTTCAGGATACTTCCTTAGGTAGTATCCTAATTTGTATGTCAAACATATTTTTTTCTTTTCTTTTACCTATTAAACCTAAGGAGAATATAAATGTGCTAAAAAATGGAATAATCTATAATTTCCTAATGAATTGAAATATAAAAATTTAAATTACTTAACGAACCTGAAAATTTTGACCATTTTTCAGCATAGCAATGTTCTCTTAATTCTCAAAGGCAAAGGGTTAATTTTTTTTTTTTTTTTTCTTTGATAACCATTTTATATTGTGTGAGATTTTTGTGTGTAAATGTTTACAAGAATACACACAGACATACACCTGCATGTGTAATAATGGATACTTGGACAGTACTATAAAATGGTTTGTTTTAAGGCTTGCACTTGGCCATTTTGAACATTTTCTGGTATTATCTCTGGCCATTTAATGACCATCTGTCTTCTCCTGATTGGCATTCTCTTCAACATTGCCAGAATGAATGGTGCTAAGCGCTCCAAGCCGGTCAGCCTGAATGTTGGGGGTGTGATTTATACCACATCTTTCCTGACCCTCATCAGTTACCCAGACTCCATGCTGGCTCGCATGTTTGAAGGGGACTTGCCTTCAGCTAAAGATCGTGACGGAAATTTCTTCATTGACCGGGATGGTAACTTATTCCGGTAAGTATGCTCAGAAGTATTTTTTTTTTCCTTTTTTTTTTTTTTTTTTTTTTTTTTTTAATCAAAGTGGCATGTTACTTTGTATTGGTTGATAATTTAGTTCTCAGCATGGCAAGTATCATTGAAACAGGGAAGGGTTTTTAAAGTAATTTTTGCACATAGGCAAGGTTTTTAACTTTGCTTTCAGTTTTAAATAATAATGTCCACTGCAAAATTTGAAATGTTTACCATTTGGATCATGCCTAACCTGAAATAAAGAAAATATACATTCTCCAGCAAAGATATTTTATTTTCTTCATAAGATTTCTCAAATATCCAAGCCAGTAGATGAAAATAAATAAACATACTGTTTAATAAATAAATGGAACATCTAGTCAAATATGGGTATCCACTAAAATAATCTTTAAGTAATAAAATCTGTCGGATTAATAAATAAAAAAATTCATTACTTCTCTAGAAATTCTTTGTTTACATTAGAATATGAAACTGAACATATATGAGTGTTTGAAGAAACAGAAAAATTTACATCTATAAGGCAATATTCAAGTTTGCTTAGTCATTGATGCTCTATGTACATGAGTCTGTATAAAAAAAAAAAACCTAGACCTATTCATTTCTTACTGGAGTATTGACAGCTGTTCTGTTTGCTTATAAACACTTGTAGACATTTCAAGAAGCAGGCTGAATGTTGCTAACAATAGATAATATTTGACAGTGTGAGTTGTAGTCATGAAAATTCTTCCAAAATAACCTAAAGAATAATCTGGAACATCTGGTTTTGGTTCTCTGGCATTTTAGAACATAGGGCAGAAATCTCTGGTTATCATATAACAAGGGGCAACAAATACTGCAGTTGTTACAATAGTGTATGTCTAGGGTAATTTAACTTGAAGGAGCCCCTGCCTCTTTGAATTTATTTTTCCTTCTCTTAGACTAGTTGACAGCCAATGCTAAAATGCTCAGTCTGACCTGCTATTAACCCCTAACTGGGAAAAGATATGAATTCGTACCTTGTTACGAGTACTTGTGTGAAAGTAAATGTAATGGAATTTGAACCTGACATGGTAGTCCCACTTTCATCAATAACCACTACACAGCGCTCACATCTATCTCTGGGAGTTCAACCTGCAAAATAAAACAAATCCCGGCTTTGATGATATGAATTGAAATCATTTATAATTGTTATGAGGTGGATGAGGGCTCTGATGTTTGGTCATTTGGTGAAACTTTGGAAATGGGTTGGAGCATGAACATTTCAGCACCCTGCTTGTATATAGTATCTATAAGTGGCAAAAACACTTGGTGAAGTTTAAGTTCCATAAATGTTTTGAGAGTGTAAGATATTCTATAGAGTGAGAGGATTTGGTTAGATCTCTTCCTCACCTATCTCAAAATTCTGAAAATTGAGAAACACAAAAGTTCCCTGCCTCCCCATTTTTGACCAAAAACAATATGCCAATAAATGAGACCTAATGCAAACCATGGTTGCTCCACACCATGCAAATTTCACTTGTTGGTGCAATTATACTGGTATCCCTACTGGTTTCAAATTGACAATTTAGCTGTCGTTATATGTGCTCAATCTGTTATCTAAAAACCTTGGGATTAGGCTCTTTTGAGAATATGGAATCTTTTTGAATGATAATTCAGTTAGCATAGCATAATTAGTTGTTACTTATACAAGAAAGTGCAATTCAAATTTTGTGCCTCAAAAGTGAAGTCCTCAAAAAATATGCAAAATATTTGATACCTAGCTTTAACAGCTCAGTGGAGAGAAAAAACTGGCTGATCACATTCAGTGCCTCAAAAACCAAATGGGTGATGTTTCATAATCACCAAGTGGACCCTGAATTTTTACCTATCAAAATGAATAGGTGTTTTCTCGGAGAAGCCCTGTGCTTTAAGCTCAACCCAGATCTCAAGTTGGACTCATACATATGAAGCATCACTAAAGATACTGGAAAAATGGTCGGTTCTCTGTACTGTTCCAGTAAGTTTTCACTTTCCAGTCTTGATAGTGTTCAAAAGCATCTCTGCGTCCTTGTGGGTGACAAATTATTTTCTACCCTAGAATCCCTTTCCCACAGATGAAACGTTACAAGCCTTTTGCTGCTTTATTTCTATTTCCATAGAAAGTGTTAAGATGAACTAAATTCCTTAATTCCACTAGTTCTTACCTTTAGGGCTAAGACTCACCACGCCACCCTCATTTCATTTGTATTCCATTGGTGGGATGTAAGTTCCAATCAAGTGTCTTCTTCCCATGAACTACTGCTTTGTAAAACCGACTTCCAAGAGGATGCTTCCCCAATCACTATAATCTTAACCTGTTCAAGTCTAGGGTAAACCATTGTTTTCTCCACATAAACTGTCTCTCTTATTCTGTAACTCTCTACCTCAAGTGGCTCTTGGACCTTGTACAAAGTGAAGATTATTGTAAAAAAAAAAAATTGCAGAAGCCTGACTGACTTGTAAAAGTTCTGTGATAGCTTAATACTCTGTCTGGTCTTTTTGACAAGTTGAAGTTAAGTTTAAAGATCTGGGTTGCATTGAGTCATGTTTGGTGTCAAATGTGAGTTTCGGTTTGCAGACAATATCCATGGGGTTGCGGAAGTGTTTGTTTTTCAGAGTTTCAATAAGAAATTATATACATTTATTACTATTCCAATATCTGAAATTTCAGATAAGATATTGTATAGGTTTTAAAACTATAGCAATAGTATGTTGCATCAGAGAAAATAATACAAAATTTCACACAGATAATTCCTTTGGTCTTTATTGCTTATCCATTTAGTTATATAAATGGAATCAGAACAGTAACAGGTCACTTATTGACTTTGTATTATTAACCCTTGGCATTTACTTGAATTCTGTTTGGATGACTAGCATTCATTTACTTGACTCCATATCTATTTCCATGCAGATATCCTAATACTGGATTGATGTGCAGGGATAGGAGAGCATCTTGTGTCAGCTTAAAAAAAAAAAAATTATCTTTAACTTAAGGAAGGACTTAAGTTAAACTCCTCAAATAAATATCATTTGTTGCTTACTGTGAATAATTTAAGAACTATTCTATTTTTGTTGAAAATAGCTTAATTGTCAACCGAGGAAACCAATTTAAATATAACAGTATTAACATTTAAATAAAATTCTTGATTACAATTTTGTTGAAATTTATTGAGCTATATTTTTAAGCTTTTTGTAAACATGATCTAAGGGAGCACTTAATAACTACCATGTTTTTAATTAATGTATGTTTTCTTTTGAGACTTGTACAGGGTGCGATGGATAAATTGTCTAAATTATGCAAAAATGAAAATAATACTGGCATCTCATTTTAACAGATATACTAAAATTACACAAAATTATCTTGAAATACTAAAGAGTAAATTTATTCAATAAAATCATCATTGTCTTCAACCACAGACTCCAGACGACTTCAGAATCTCCTGAAACTCTTTTGGCTGGTCTCCTTGTTTAAGTTGATAAATGCTGCCATAATCCTTGCCTTCAGTTCAACTTTGGTGTTACAAAGAGATTTGTTGCTCTCTCGCTCAACTGTGCCTCGCACATAATAATGAAAGGGTTGCAGTCTGGGGAGTTAGGTGGTCAGATGTAAAGAGTGATGTGGTCACATTGTCTAACAGTCATGACTGGGTTCTCTTGCTTGTGTTGCATGGTGTAGAGTCCCGTTGCCAGACATACTGTCTTCCAGCAGCCACGGTCTTGACCCAAGGCAGCACTACCACCTCACGGTAATTGATGTAAGCCTCAGTGTTGAATCTGAGGCCCTGTGGGAAGATGACTGGAGCCATAATGTCACCATCAATAGTGATCATTCAAAACACATTGATAATCATCATTAGATTCATCCAACTCTTTTTGAATTCTCTGCACTGTCTTCAGATTGATACCCAAACATTCTGAAATGTTAATATTGGAGCTTCCGGCATGAATGCCAAGCAGTACTGCATGCTGTTTCCAAATTTCTGGCAAGTGTGTTGCATCATGGGGCTCTTTTTCTCAAAGACAGTGCCCAACTGACCATACTATACTGTGCAATCAACAAAATCAAAAACAACACATATACACACAATTAAAAAATATAAATTGGCGACAATTTACCAATCGCACCCTGTATGTGTTTTTTATATATATATATATATATATATATGGGGCGTGCCATCTAGGTAGGCAAAGTAGACAATGCCTACCCTGAATAAAATAAATCAGCAGCTACATTTTTCTTTTTGTGGCACAATATGCACCTAATCCAACAAAATTATGAAGGTTACTCTGATTATTATACATTGTGTGTGTTTTTGTAGGATGTATTCAAAACAAAAGTGAAGATGAAAAATTACAGCTTTCGCCAGAGCATCTGCTTTTTTGGCTTAGGTTGAAAGAGACTAAATTGTATGTGAGGGGAAAATATCTTGGGATCTCTGAGGATAAGTAGTAATCATAAATTAAATTAGATACCTTATCACCTCCAATGTCCAGATTCAAGAAGGTGTCTGTCTGCCTGTTTGCTTTATCTCTATCAGAGGTATTTGGTGTGGTGGGATTTTAAAACAATCCACGGGTGAGTTTTTTTAGTATATATTCTTAAGCTCTGTTCACATTTCAAGCTTTGGAAACACACCTTTTAAAAGAACGATGTAGCAATAATGACATTTATTTTTTTTGACTCGCATAAGAAATTGTCTATACAATGGGGATTTAGAAAGATGTAGTATTTATGTCAGAATATTCTTTTCTACTTGTTTCTTTTCTAATACTTTCATTGCTCTTATCTTTCTTTTCCATTTGCCATTTGTCCTTTCAGTTATATTCTCAACTATCTTCGGACTCGTAAGATTCATCTGCCTGAGACGCTTGTGGAATTACAACAGCTGAAAGATGAAGTGGACTTCTACCAGATTCCCACCCTGAAAGAGGAAGTATGTATGGAGCTTGCCCGGCGACATGAGGAGAGCATGGTCAAATTGCTACCCCCCAACTGTGATTCGGACGGTTACTTCCTTGATGTGATTGAGATCAACACGGTAAAGGCAAACATGAAAAGTCTGCACTTAATTGCTCACGCTGATGTGATACGCGTTCTTCCGCTCAACCCTGAAGACTATGCTATCCTGCAAGCTTTGATGGAAATTGTGAAGTGTACAGACTACCACCCACAGAAGAGTAACACTGGCCACATGTGGTATATGGGCAAAGGTTGCTTTGAGATACAGGACCTCAATTACTTGACAAGAGTTGAAATTGCTGAGATTGTTAGGGTCCACGGTGCCCGACTGATCTCCTCATCTGTGTCCTTTTCTAATAGCACAGAAACAAATAATGTGCAGACAATTCTGGTCATGGACAAGTGGCATGTTCCAGCGTACTGTGTACAGAAATTGCGAGAGAGCTGCATGGCTTGTAAAGCCCTGCCTCCTGGCCGCACAGTTGGCTTTTTGGACTGGAATCAAGGTGACTAATTCCCGGGTAGACCTCATTCATATATATATATATATATATATATATATATATATATGTGTGGACTGCCTCAAGAACACACACACACACACACACATACATGTGCACATAAATACATGTGCATTCACCAACACATTCATGCTTGTTAGTCAGAGGTGAGCTGTCACTGTCAGATTTTTAGGCTCTGGAAATGGTGTTATGGGTCTGGTTTTAAGAGCATCAGGATGAATCCTGGCTGGAACCAACACTTTTGTTAAGTCTCTGTATCTTTCCTTCCTTTGGCCTTTCTGGTTTTGCTCGATGATGCCCTCCCACTCACTTTTTATTTATTTTTATTGTTATTTTATATTATTTCTAATATCTGTCCCCCTGTTTTTCAAATTTATCTCTCTACTGAAATCAGTAGTAATGATAATAAAAAAAACAAAAAAACAATAGTAATATCTTATTACAGGATAGATTTAAAAAAAAAAAAAAGAATTTTAAAATCCATAAATGATATTTTTCTCTTTTGTTAATTTGCATTTTGCTATCAAAATGTATTGGTTTGGTTCAGCTGTCCGTTCTCTTTCAGTGCATCTTTGGCAAATTTTTATCTGCTTTGATAAATTTTTATTTGGACTGCCTACTCTTCTAAACAATAATCACAGTGTTTCCATTTGTAAAAACTAAAAAAAAATTAAAAAAATGTTAAAAGTATGAGGCACTCAAATAAACTTTTACTCCCTCCCCACTCTTTTATTTTCATTTCATCTATTTATTTTTCATTTTACATCTTTTTTCATTGCTTGCTACTTTTAATTAAAATTCTTTTTCTTATTTCTTTTATTCGTTGATTGTTAATCAAGTAATAAAACTATGAAATCTGTACATCTATGCCTTTTTTTTTTTTTCTTTACTATTGCATGTGGAGTTCTTTTGGACACAAGATTTTGCTTTTTATTTTTTATTTTTTTTCTTCATTTATTTACCTTCTTATTCAAAATTGAAGCATTGTGATTATCAATGTCAGTTGAGTTCAATCTAAATAAAAATTAACTTTTTTTTTTCTTAATGGTTGTCATTTTATTCTCTCTCGCTTCTAGAAATATTAATAAATACTTTCCTTTTTAATGTTATATTTATTTATATTGCTCCCTACCCCTAATCTCTTTGAAGTAAATACATGTGCTTTCTTTGAGAGGGAGCTGCATTCTAGCAAAAGGCTTTAGACTTTTTGTTTATTCAGTTTCATGATGAAATTTTATTTTATTAATCCATAGACTGAAAGCTTTGCAGGATTTGATACCTTCTGGGGTGGGCAATAGTGTATGAGACTGGCTTTTGCTTGACAAAAATCTGCTTGACAAAGTAATGTAAATAGTCTTCTGTAGATGTTCAGTTTTAAATGTCTTGCGTATTCACTCATTGTAATTTACACTTCTTTGGTGAAATTTTGTTATTACTTGCTAATTTTTTTTTTTTTATCTGAGCCATTGCTGCTTTTGTCTTGAAATCCTTTGCTTTCAATTGCTGATTGTTTTTTAGGTATTATCCCTCAAGGTGATTTAATTTTTAAGAGCTTAAAATTTCATAAATAACATTAATCAGATCACAAATTGAAGTAACTGTCTGTCTTTAGTATAAAGCAAATGGTTGACTGTTTGTAAATTATAAGAACTGTAGGCATAAAATGAGAACACCTCATTTACATTGCAATGTCAATAAGGAGAGAGAAAAAAAACCAACAGCAAAACAAAAGGAATCACTTGCAATTGATCCATAGCTTTTCTTAAGCTTTAAACTTATTTAACCAGATTCAAAACTTCAGTTAATTCTAATTCACTTTTACAGTGTGTGTGAGGAGGGGGATATCATAAAATTGACTGTGCAGATATAATGTATATTTGTATGTACATAAAAATAACCCTTCATATGTGGGAGGGGTGCTGAAAAGTTTTCTGCCTAACCAAGAAGGAACTTTCCAAAGGGATTGATGTTTAGTCAGGTTTTGGGGAAGTGAATTGGGTTGAGAACCTTATCAGCACACCACTCTCATATATTTGCTTTTCAGTACATGGACAATTGAGAAATCTGAGCACTCAAAAAAAAAAGCAAGACTTATTCAGACAACTGCATTTTGTTTTTGTCTGGCTTAATACTCCTGCTAAATAAGTGTCAAGGACATTGCTGGTGTATCAGATTTGATCCTCATTTGGGACCTCATTTTGTGGCTTTTACAAATTAAGCTGAACTTAGTAAATATCTTCAGTGCGAAGAACAACTTGTATGTGTGTAATATCAGTTTTTCTGACTATGGCCTTGATCATTAATATGACTCATGAATTCAGTGTTTTTAAAACAAATGAAATGAAAAAGTTTATTTCTCCTATAGACCATTTTTTATTTTTCTATTTAATTTGTATAAAAATGTATTAGAAAATTAGGATTTATGCAGGTTTTAACAAAGTATGTAACTTTTATAATTCTAGTTTAAAAAACAACTCTTCTTTGATTTCAAATATTTGATTTTTAAAGATTTGTCACTTGTATTTATTAAATTTATTGCATACTTTACACCATTCTACAATTGATGGAATTAACACAGTATCAGAGAAAAAATTTAATTCAGTGTTTGGAGTAAAATGTCCAAATTAATACAAGAGGACACCAGGCATTGCATACACTCTATATTAACAGAATTAAAAATGGCTTTTGGATGGGATTGTCATCATAGTTTACTTGTTAATAGAATGTGTGGCAGAAATATCTCGTACATAATGGTAAGACATTAGCTAGATGAAGATACCATTACCACTTGCCTAAGTTCACTAACACCACACAGGTGATAGTTTAAATTCTGGAAGGTATTTCTGCCACACTCTGTATATTTAAAATCTCACTTTTAATAAAAGTGGGTTGCGGAGAATGACATGATTAAAGAATAAGTAGAGATCTATTTGTTTGAATTTGTAATCTTAATTCTAAATCTGTAGTTGTTGTCCTTGGGAACTTTATTTAACTTCTAGGCTTAAAAATACCTAAATAAAAGACAATTTTTTTTCTAAAATACTGCAGATGCATACATGATTTTGAATGAAAATTTACTTTGGACTTGCTCATTATTTTAGTGTGAGATAAGATTTTCTTAAAGCTACTTATTCAGTTCATATACTAATATAAAAAAAAAATATGAGATCCTTAATGCGGACTAAAATCTCCATCTGATGGCACTCAGCTATTCTTCATTATTCATAAAGTAAATATAAAAGCACCGAAATTAAAAATCTTGTCCGCACAAAGTACTTAAAGCGTTTAGAATACTTTCACGGGAGATAACTATTTAACATTTAAATCCTCGTTTGTAACGTTAGTAAGAACAAAAGTGAAAATGTTTGTCTTGTTACTAGAATATTTTTAGTATATTACTTGTAGAAACTTATATATATATATATATATATATATATATATATATATATATATAGGAAAAATAGGCATTTGAAAAAAAAAAATTAAATTTAGTTTACAACAGTAAAAAAAAAATTAATGTAACTCCAAGTAATCGATTTTTTTTTTTTTTATTTAAATGTACGTTTTTCTCGCCTATAAATATTCATTTTAAACTGAAATTTTGTGAATGTTTCAGTGTATTTATTTTCTTTTCTGTGGAATGTGTTAGTCTTATTGTAAATATTAAAATATCTTGCCTAACAACAAAATGAATTCTGAATACTTTTGGAAATTGGGATAAACCTAAGTAATTTAGTTATTGCAAGATGTAAAATATTTATTGAATTTTTAATTAAAAATAATAGAATGACATTGTAGCGTAAATGTCTGCCTCCAAGTTACTTCAGGTATGAGGATTTAATTCGTTCTGAGAGGTTTTATTTTAATACATAATGTGTCATGCAATATAATTCAAATTTTTAACTAGCTATAAACTTCACATTTATTTCTTCACAAAAATAATTACACTAACTTAAATGCATTGAATGTTTAGCAGAATTGTTCGTGTGCAAACAGAAACATTGCTACATCAGTTTACACTTGTAACTCTTCTTTTATGAGTCAATCTTTACGAATACATTCCTTTAAAAAATATATTTAACATGCTTCCATGCGAAAAAAACGATTAATGAAAAATGTTGATTTATCTCCCTTGCATACTGAACTACTTCCCTCGCATAGCCATTTCCTACAGATTAATAAATCCACGATCGTGGGGGTAAATTTTCATTCAAAATCCCCAATTAATGGCATATTTAAATAGTTTCATTCTATATGAATTCTTACAGAGACAAACAATGAAGCATTGGTACTAATACTTCTATTCATTCACTGCTTAGTGGATTTCAGCATTTAGTACTTCTAAAACCTTTGTATTAAACTTAAAGTGTTTACATTATTGGCATCCATATAAATAAATCTTTCTAAAGTCAGTCGATAAGTTTAGTCTTTATGCTTGGTTATTAGTAAATTGTCCTTTTAAAACAAAACCCATGCATTAAAAAAATATATTTACGTAACCTACACACAATTATATTGTTCTGCCATTTTATCTATTTAATGGTAATGTATTAAGCATGTACAGAAGTCTACAGAACTTATTTTTCTTTAGTAATTATGTGAAAACTTTTTGCATAGTCCTAATATTTGTAGTCATAAAAAGAAAAAAAATTCTTTTTGTTTTCTCGGCTTTTGTTCTCTTTCTCTCTTGGTAAATTAATTCTGTGTGTTTGTGCACACTCTGTATTGACAGACTTTATAGGTAACCTTTTTCTTTTTCCAAATTGAAAATTGTCCCTTTAAACAAGAAACACATAAAAATATCAGCTTTCAATTAATTTTCATGATAACCAAATATAAATACTTCTTTTCAGTTTAACTTCATTGGGCCTTACCTCATTCCTTATTTCATTAATGTTCATGAGGTCATTGGGTAAATTTATTTTATATTAAGTTCCTAATGTAAAGATGAGGATTTTTATCTTGACTCATACTCTGGAAAAAAAATGCTAAT